GCTGCTGCCACTACTACGACTGCTTCCACTACTACGGCTGCTGCCACTACTACGACTTCTGCTGTGGGTGCCACGACAACTACTGCAACCGCAACCCCGACAACATCAGGTACGTGTCCACATTATTACAAGAATTTTTTGTCTTTCTTAAAGACATAAAGATTGCTTTAGCATCCACGGCATCCAGCAGGATGACGATAATGGTTCTAAAGCCATTTGACATTTTACTAATACGGCCACCATCTTGAAATTTGAAGAAATTATGAGATATCCAGGGGACAAAAGCACACATTCTCTTAAAGAATATTACAGAACATTCGTACACTGATAGGGATTTCGAGCTTCAAAATTCAAACTAATTCTTAAAACAATAGAATTCAAGATGGAGGAAGTATTGTAAAAAGGTCTATTATTTTTCTTATGCTCTTTTATTTAATGTTACATTCAGACAGATCATCGAGCGTGAAACGTTTTTGAACAGCAATTTGTTTTTATTTACATTGTGCTACGCGTTCTCCGTCCTCCCGTTATGGAGTCCAATATTACCTTTTCGAATTCAAAGCGAAAAACCGCTGCCGGCTTAATTTGACATCAGGTCCCCTTGCGCAAAGAAAATTCCTATTACAATAGCCTTGACAGCGGTTCTTCGCTTTGAATTCGAAAATAGAGTATTCATTTTATTGCACTCGCAGATACTGCAGCTCATTATTGTGATGAATGGCCGTTTCCCCTAATGACCCATTGTTTGTTTTGGCTAAGTGCATTATTGGTAAAATATGGCCCTTGTCCAATAAAAGCTAAGACCACGTAGAAAGATGAGGTTTCTTTGCAATATGAACGTTGTCCAATGTAGAAGATGCTTTGGAGTATTTTTACTTTACGTTCTCGACAAAGGATAACGCGGTTAATTTCAAACTTCGTACTTTGAAGACATCCGCCATCTTGATTCTTTTACACATACCATGGCGCACTTCGCCAAAACAAGCATTACATCATTGGGCAAAAAACACAGAATATAATATGGCGCTAACTGCTTAGCATGCAGCGTGGTCAGCTGTAATTGTAATTTGTAAACCTCTGATAACAATCGTCGTCGTGCACCTGGGTTTATGGGTAGACTGCCGATGATGATGACATTCGCTGTTGAGAAATCGCAATAATATCGAAATAATATAATCAAAAACGTCCCAGATCACATCTCTWTCTTTAGTATTAGTATTAGTTAGGAACTATAAAAGCTATAGTGTGAATACAATTATGGTTCGAAACAAGATGAACAAAGGTTCCGAGCTCAGAGAAATGTTTCAAAGCTATGGGCGCCATAGAATGAAATCATTATGTCGTGAAACACAATTTGACTATTGAAGTGTTGGAGTCAAAAAGACACAATTAAGAAAGCAACGCAATTAAAGCGTTTACTAAGGTATATTAGTGTAATATCTATTTTTCGTGTTTATTGATCTCACTTTGGACGAATGAACAAGAGAAACAAATGAGAGATGTCGTCGGTATTTTCATTTAACATGGCGGCGATGACATTACATAACTTACAAATCATGAGATCTGAGAATTGAAAACCTCGTAAATTCACAACAATTATTGGTTTAGTTCACATCAATAGGTTGAAAAACCTTTTTATTAGAGTCAAGCACAAAAATATTAGTATACTAAAAAAAACATGAATTTCAAATTTCAAAATACTGTCGAAGTGTTCCAAACGATCGCTGTGAATGCCCTGATAAATAACAATCATATGAAATGGCTATATTTCCCTAGGTGACATTTTAATTAAAACTTCAATACTTGAARCCCCATCAATTTTCTTTCAGGAAGGATTTTGATTCAATAACAATCCTTTTTTTCTTTTTGAGCATTTTCAATATAGAGAAAGCTTTTTTCGTTTTCTTTTGAAACCCAAATATAATTCAATTGTTCGGAGAAACAGTAGGAGTCACATGAGTTTTCTAGGCTGCCGAGTTATAAGAATTAAAATATACTAGCGAAATAGGTACAGAAAAAATTGGACTCAAACCAAAAACAGAAGGCATCTAATTTCGAATTCCTAGATGAAATGACGAKATGWTGGCCAAAGAAATGATAGCAGACCAAAACTTTTGAATAAATTTTGATTATAGATCTATTACATTTTGTTCCCAAACTATTTCACTCTTTTACTACATTTCAATKACATCAGCATTATCGAATACAAACATAGCGAAGATTGACTCGAGAATAGAGAGTGAAAGTAATTTTATTGAGAACAATATTTACACAAAATGTTTTTGGCACAAACTCTTAATTATTCTGACTTCGAATTTTTTATAAAAATGTGCTTCTTATAAAAAGCGATATACGATGGTAAATCTTTCTTTTGTTTTAGGACCATTTTTGTAATTTGGTAATACTTTAACCGAATGCTTTGAGATTCTGTCCAAGACGATGGATCATCTTTTGAGTGAGCAAGACTGAACTTTGGCTTTTTATAATCATATAAGCTCTAAAGAACAGCATTATTTTGTTTTCCTTCTGTCGAGGACAGAAAAAGAAGAATAGAATCAAGTCCAAACTTTCTACGCTCGTTATTTCAAACATTTATTTATTTCCGTAGTAACGGACGTGTAGACACCCGCGCCTTGGTAATAACAGTTATCGATCGTCACGTCATGTTATTTCATGGCACAAAGTATTATTGAACACCTTTTCAAACTCATTTGACGGCCTTAAGTAAACAGTTTGACAGAACAGAAATCACCTGCAGTAAAAGAAAACGGGTTTTAGCTTATGAGTTTTAGAAATATAATATATCGACAAGATTTTAAAACAAACTAAAAAACGGCTGAGAGAGATGTTCAGGTTCAAAATGATAATTTTTATAATGAGTGAAAAAAAAACATACTGTGGCATTTCAATTTTGGCACGATTATTTCATCCTGACATATAAAAACTTGGTATATATAGAGGCACATATAGCTCAAGCGAAAGCTCTTATCAGTTATTGAAATCCCATCAACTGTTTGCCCAAAATCGACAAAATTGAGTGAAAATTCTTTTGTTGTCAGTTCCGAGTCAGGTTTCTATTTGTTGCTAATAGCAACTACTGATAACAACAGACTTTGGACATTAACCCCAAATTCAATTACKATATTTTCGAAGCATCACATAGATTTATGCAAGATCTTCCTGACTTCAAAAGATTAGCGTGATAAGCAATATATTTTAAAATAAAAAGAATGCTATTAATTTTTTGGGTTCCAAACGGGCAAAAATTGAGTACTATTATTCCTWGTCAAGTCACCATTTATTCAGGATGATAATCATGCGACACCATCGGATATGAATTTTTAGGGACTATCGTCTCGACAGACAGCTCGTCTTTTCCACACACTTCTTTCTGGACTTTTCCATTTTATCTAAAGACTGTTTAAAACAATACAGTAATTTTTCAACCAAACTAAGTAAAATCATGCTCATCTCAGGACCGCAATTAGTGCAAGCTCAAAGATATATATTTTAGCAGTGTAAATTTAAGAGAAGTTTACGAGATTGTTAAGGATTATTGACAACAGTGTCTCTGTTTTATAATGGAAATAGAAAACAAATCGACTTAATTTGCTTCCCACAGTGATCGATCTTTCACTTAGCATAAATCATTAGTCAAAGTTTCTTCAGCTAGCTAGATCCAAAACATTTCGGTAGACACTGAATAGACTTGGGAGAATGAGTCATTTTCTCAGCTGATCAAACTATCAAATCTCACAAAGTTTAGGAGTTTTTAAAACAGCTATAATTTAGAATTTAAATTAAAGCTTCTTTCGATGTTTTATGATTAAGTCTCTGACCTACAAGCAGATAGTTTACTATACAAATGGCCGTAAGATTATACTGATCGGTCTGCTAGCTTTTGCGTAAGTGATCCCTCGGATGCGACATATTTCCACACATGACATCCTGCATTGGGATATAACAATGCAAGGCGGTCAATACTTGGTTCTTTTTTAATATCTGAAAATAAAATGAATTTTTAAAACTAAAATTAAATTTCTTTTGAGTTTTATCTCTTCCATTTCCTTCTATTCTATTCGAAAACAAAAGAGTATTATGCAGTTCATAGTTCACAAAAGCAAAAACAGATCATTTTGCGAACCGAGTTGTCTTAGCAAATAACTGATGTTTTTTTTTCTTCGTTCTTCGTAATCAACCGGTGTTTGTTGGATTGTTGCTTTGGAAACCTCTTTAGGGGGCATGCAACAAATTATTTCAATGTAGCATTGACCAATGTCTTTTAGTCTAGCATTACTCTTGTTGTGACGTAAACCATTATTAATTAATGTATATTTTTATATTTCAATAATGTTTTGAGCATCTGTTGTCAATAGCTTCTGACTTTAGACACGACTTATTGCACTCCTGATTAGAAGTGCTCATTGCTCTAGCTCTAACGAGGAAATTTCTAAAACGTATTTTGAAAGCTGCCGAGACTGTTTCCAAAATGGCTACAATTTCGATGTTTCATTTGGTAATAGCGTTGTTGAGTTGTTTCGTTTTCCAAGGTAAGAGAATCATTTAGAGAAAACTTATATATGAAGTGGAGCAAAGAAGTCARCCTGACTTCTTTATGYGTTGAAAGCATGTTTGAAAATTGTCGATAGATTCTACATTAGAATCATGGTATATACTGTAGCTATAGCGTGATAGCTTATATAGCATRCAAAATCAACTACGAAATCCGAAGCAAACGTCTGATTTATCCAGAATCTTCCAGAACATAAGATTATTGGTTCTTATCAAGRAACATGGAAGTTTACATTATACGCCGAAATTTTACTTTAATTAACAAGTCAGACTTAATCTTATCTCCAACCAAGGGAAGCAAATGGTAAGTGAAGAGACACAAAAGCTGTTTAACTGTGGACCCAAGTTAATGGGCATTTGTACATCTCCCAGGAAGAAAAGCAGATGAAATGAATTTCTAAACAGTTCAACCACTTGAAAAACATATTCTTCCAAAACYTAGCAGCGAAAAACAATTAAAACAACTATAATTATGAGGCAATCAGAGACAAAAGGCTGAAAAATAACATATAGTAAAAACCTTACTGTTTTGTTACA